CCGTGCCCATCTGCAGTGCCACGTAGCAGCCTGCTGTGCCACGTGGCAGCCTGCTGTGGACTGTGAAGACCCCCTAATCAAGGGCTGCTCTACAGTGGTGAGGGTCTGCTCACACATCACACCTTGGATCTGCAGTGTTGCTGCTAGGGGCTGATCAAGATCTCAGCCCCCTCCCTTCTCCAGTTGGCTTGCTGCAGTGAAGGCCAAGACCCTCCTGGTCTTGGTATACCTTGTGCCCTTGGAGATGCCAAGGGCCAGGTATCACCTCTCTCTTCCCTGCCCCCTACTAATCCACTTTCTCTACCTTTTCTCTCTCTCTTACTCACCCCCTCTACTTCTTCCTCTTCTACCTCACTCACTTCCTTCTAATCACTCTCACTACTCRTACCCCTCTCCCCACCCCACCTTTTCTCCCACCACCCACTATTTTACTCTATTTTATTCATTTATTTTCTTTTCTTTCTCCTCTTTTCTCTTTGCTTCTTGATTCCTCTCCACCTTTCCCATCCCTTTCTCACCCATTCTCTCACCCTCCTCCCCCCCAACTACAACCCCATCACCCCCTCACCTTCCACTTCCATCCTTTTCTCTTTCTTACCTATGTCTCTTTTCCTTCTTCACTTTTTCATCCCCTTTCTCCCCCAATTTCGAATTTTTTGTGTTTTTCTTATTTTTATCTTTTTTTTGATTTATATTGCCTCCTTTTTCCAAAAATTCGAATTACCTTATTCCCCCCCTTCTTTTCTTATTTCTGATTCATTTCATTTTATTTTTATTTATTCTGAAAATTTGAATTTCTTTGCGGCACCCTTAAATCTGATTAGGAGTTAGTCATTCTTGCTTTCGGCACACATTTTGACCCCGAGGGGGTAAGGAAGTGCTGTCGAAATTTTCTCATTTTACTTAGCCTTTCTTCTTGACGGAAGTGCTGTCGAAATTTTCTCATTTTACTTAGCCTTTCTTCTTGACGGCACACTTCGGTCCCATGGGGGTAACGAAATGTTTTCGAAATTTTTGGAAAATCCAGCACTTAATTTCTCTTCACCTCCTCATCTACTTATTATTTATTTGATTATTTCTTTATTTATTATTTAACATAAATAAATATTATTTTTCTTTTCACATTTTGTTTCCTTATTTCTTTAATTATTTTTATTTTTCTCTCAAAATTTCATTGTTTTTTTTTTTTTTTTTCGCCTCCCACCCGTGCTTGCTATTTTATTTTCTTGATTAGGTCATCGGTACCCTAGCCTGATCACTCAAACTCCGGTTAGGGTTTTCTTAGGGTTTTTCTAGGGTTTAGGGTTCTCCTAACCCCCCTACTTCCCCTTTCCATTCGGGCACCCTGGACTCGATGTCGAGCGCATCGGTCCCGCACGGGGACCCTCCCGGCCGCGTCACGCAGGATTTTGCAGGACTTGTCGCGGAGAGCGTTTGCCGCTCCGGCCGAGTGCGCCAGCCGTACCTCTCGCGAGCCCCTACGACAGGACAGGGTCACGCGAGGCACCGGCTGACGCACTCGGTCGGAGCGGCAAACGCTCTCCGCGACAAGTCCTGCAAAATCCTGCGTGACGCGGCCGGGAGGGTCCCCGTGCGGGACCGATGCGCTCGACAGGTGGCGCCGTTGCCGGGGATCTTAGCTGCCTACCAGGGTCCTTAAGAGAATGAACCCAGGTTAAGTGCAGGCTGATGATCCAGGCAAAACGACAAAGGTTATAGGTTGTATGGGCTTATATAAGAGGACCGTATATGAAGTTATAATAAGACTGAGCGATGTATAGTGCGACTAAAGGTTGTATCTTGGGCGTGAATAACTAATGGTAGAGCGGTTAGCTAAACTTAGAAGTAGAGTGGTCAAGAATGATGTAGGGCAAGCCCTCTGAAACTTGACGAACTGCTTACCGGTCTATCCCTTGTTACTCCTGTCAGGTTGGTTAGCAGAAAGAGCTGAAGATGCCGGATGCAGATGGAATCGAGCGGGGCCTGGCAGCTACGCCAGCAGACTTCGTCAATGCCCTTGAAAAAAGGGAGTTGGCACGGCTACAGGTACCAAAGGTTGACATCTTCCATTTTGAAGGAGAGAGGGTGTCGAAATGGCTGGAGCTCCTGGAACAGGTTACGGCCGAGGTGCCTGAGGTAGATAAGTTTAAGTTCCTACCTCGATATATCTTGTCGGAAACCCGGCCCGAAGTAATGAAAGTAGGTGCTGAAGCAGGGGGAGACTGGACAAAGTTTAAGGCTGAGATGCAAAGGCGATTCAAGTTAGGGGATGGCTTGCTGACTAAGACAGATTTGGAGATGCTGCAGCGGGATGAATTCTCCATAGTAGGGGCCTTCGCCACAACATTCGAGAAGATGGTAAGGAAAGTCCCAGGGTTGGCGGAGGAGGAACAGTGTGCCACTTTCCTGGGGCACTTTAAGAATTGGGAGGCCTCGTTGTTAACCAAGAAGGCTGCGTCAGGACAGAAACTGACCTGGGCCGCCATAAAGGAAGGCGTGATAGAAGGAGAACTGGACCAAGTAGACATCTTCCAGATGAAACAGGCTAGGAAGAAAAGGAAGGCCTTAGACGCTACGACGAGTGATGGGCGCGACTTCAAGAAAATGGTGGAGGATGCGGTGGCCCAACTTGATGCAGCGAAGGAGGCAAGAAGAAAAACTATGGCGGCACCACAGACCCAAGGTAAAGCAAAGAAAGCGGTGGTGCAGGAGGAAGAAGAAGAGGAAGAGGAAGAGGAGCCCGAGCCGCAGAAGCTGACAAAGGCTCAAAGGAAAGCAAGGAATTCGGCTCAAGGGGGGCAAGGTTTAGGGAGGGGTCAGGTCCCACAAGTTGTAGCCATGTCGCCCCCTGAGTCACCTAGTCAAGCTGCACCAGCACACTATGGGCCGTGGCCAGGTTGTGGACCTTCAAGCCACTGGCATGGACATTGCTCATACGCCCCATGGCCACAGAGTGGGCCGCATGGGTCATGTGTCGGACCACCGATGAGCATGGCTTCCTGCGGCTTCCCGGGGCCCCAAGCGCAGCAAGTAAGTCACCCAAACCCACCGCCAAACCAACCGCCAAACCAACCCCAGCAGTCAGCCCCACAAGGGTCACAAGGCAATCAAGGCGGTGGACGAGGACAAAATCAAGGGTGGGGCCGAGGACGAGGGAATGGTGGCCGGGGAGGAAACGGCAGAGGGAATGGTGGTGGTAACGCTGCAGGCGGGGGAAGCGAGGGCTGGACAGCATCCGGGAGTCAAGGTGGCCAGGAAGGTGGAAGAGGTGCTGGCAGGGGGAGAATAGATTGGAGGAACGCCATTTGTAGGCACTGCGGGAAGAAAGGTCACACTATCAAGTTCTGCCATGTCCGGAGAAACGATGAGGACGAAGGCCTAATCAGCACCAACTATGATGGGGATATGTACGACAAGTGGGGGTACCACCTTGATCCAAGGGCCCCAGGTGGGACAAGGAAGGAGGCTACGACGAGCCGAGGCAGGTGAACCACCCGCTACCCTAGCCATGTTTCAGATATGGCAGGAGAAAGAGGTCCGTAGTGACATCACGGTTGAAGAGGTGGGAGAGAACGAAGAGGTGGAGCAAGAGCGGAAAACTGACACTACTAAGGCTGAGCCCATCATAGTAGAGTCGGACGATGAGATTGAAGAAGATTACTGGAACAGGCCGTTGCACGCTGAGACAGGGGAAGACTTGGAGAACGGCCCGACAGACAATGGAGAGAATGGAGGACCTGATAGACAAAGTCGGGAGATACCAACAGAAGCTGGCTGATATATGCGAAGAAGTCAAGGAGTGGCAAGGTAAGGAGCCATCGGTATACCTCTACGACCTAGGTCCGGGATCGCAAGGAGGGTCCCCGTGCGGGACCGATGCGCACGACACTGAGCCACCCTTCCCCCTTTGTGGGCGCCCGCGCTTGACTCACTAGCGCCACCCGTCACTTTCTACCGCGGACGCCCACCTACGCCCTCCCCTCACACGGACCTCCTCTGGCCCCCTCCAATCCGTCCTGTCACCTCCTTATGGCCGACGGCGTGTCCACGCTCCTAGCGCGACGACCGCCACATGCCAGGCCTTCCCTTACCCTACGGGCGCACCCACCCAGATTCCGGTCACTACGGCCACGGGACCACAACCCTCTGCCACGGTTTCAACTTTTCCGGGTAGCCCGCTTCTCCCTCCCCTTCGCACGACCACAACGCCACCTGACTCTCCCCCTCATGGGATGCCCCGCGCCGCTCGTGCGTCTACTTTCCCCACTCTTCCTCCTACTATTCCTCGCTCGATCTATGTTCACCGTCTTGAGACTGAGCTTGCCCAGATTCGGGCTGACCTCGCCCTTTTATGCCTTCAACCACCCCTACCATCACAGGTGGCCACACCTTCGGGCGCACCCCCTCTTTCTCTACTCTTCCATCCATGCAGGCTTGCTTCCCCCGCCCTGCACCCCCTCCACCCCCATCCTACCTCCTTCCTACTCCCTCACAACCTGCTGCTGTTGCCCCCGCCGCTCCCCCATGCGGCCTGGGCGTACAGTCAGGTGCGCCCTCTTCTCCAGGACCTGCGCCGACTTACTCGGCCGTAGCGCAGGCCTCTGCTCCTCGATCTCCTCGCCACCAAAACGGTGGCGCACCACTCGTCCGCTTAACGGACATTGCCTTGTATAACGGTACAGGGATACGCGTGTCTCGGTGACTACAGTCTGCCACCCGCACGCTTCAGCTCATGGGCGTCCCACCCGACACGTGGGTGGCTCACCTCTCCACGCGCCTGCGCGGCGGTCCTTTGATGCCTGGGAGGATTTCTACTCTCACTCCTTTCGTGAGGGTTGGACCTCGACCTTCGTGGATTTTCAGGGGTTCCTTGAGGATCGCTTCGGAGCCTGACATGACGTGACTAACGCCTTCGAGTGTGTCGTTAGTACACGCCGGTCCGGCTCTGGTGGCGATGCCGGCCTGGACTGCCACATCCAGGTCTTTCAGGACGCCCGCCTCATTTGTGATGTGGCGTTCCTCCCCGAGGCTGCCCTCATCGATCGTTTCTTGGCCAACCTTCCCCTTGAGCACCGATCTGAGTTATGGCGGTATGACTTCACATCTGCCTCGCAGGCTTACGAGGCCACCAGGGCCCATCAGCGAATGCGGGCCCGTCGTCAACCCACTTCCTCCTCCCAACCTCAGCGTATTGGTTACGCTCCCTCCTCCTCTCACGACACTTTTCAATGTCGTTCCCCTTTCCATGGTCGTCCCTGCCGTTCCGCGCAGCAGGGCCGCCAGTTCTCGCACCGCTTCACCACGCTCGAGTATGGTGAGAAGGACATTGTTGCCCCGCTGTTGCCTGAGGGTGACCACAACGACGACCTCGACCTCTGCGAGGTCGTTCACTACCACCTGGAGGATTCTACTCTCCCTATAGCCGAGCGCCTCCAGCTCGCCCTTTCCACCCTCTCCCGGGCACACAACTGCTCTAGTCATGCTGGTGCGTCACCCCCCGAGGTCCCTCAGCAGGACCTTCCTCGGGGCTTTGTCCCTCCTCGTGGTGTCCTTTCCGTTGAGGAGCGCACGTCCATTTTGCGCTGGCATGGGTGTTTGCGCTGCCGCCAGGACGGTCATACCCCCTCGCGGTGCCCTTACACCGCTGCCCTCGACTACGACTAAGTTGAGCTCTCTCGCCCGCGTCGTGCTCAGTTACCCCCCAGCACCTCGCATCCCCGCGGTGCCTCCTAGCCACGGTGCAATGTACACCTGCGCCCTCCTCAGTAGTCGGCTTCCCGACATCTCCGTCGCGGTTTGCCCCTCTCGCTATTGGAGTTGAGGTATCGTAGGACCCGACAGAGTGTACTCAGCCCTCTTTCGTAGTATCGTCTGCGCCTCCGCAGACCACCATTTCCCCTCCTACCCCTCCGCGATTACTGACGCGTCGAGCCATTCGCTCAACCCGTTGCAGCGAGCAGCTTGCGACTCGCGAGGACGTTGTGTCCTCTCTTCTGAACTTGAGAATGCTCCAGGCTCGTCAGGAGCGACTCACCCTCCATGTCGCTGCACTGTGTCGCCTTCTCACCATCCTCTCTGACCCTGATCGCACTCTCCCGATCATTCGAGTACGACTGGGGACCTCCATGAGGGTGTACTCAATGCTGTGTGATTCCGGTTCTCAGGGCGACTTCATTCACCCACGTGTGGTGAAAGAAGCCTGCTTACCCACGATAGGGTCTCGGACTCCCATCTCGGTCACCCTAGGGGATGACAAAACCCAACGCTTCTTCGATCAGACGGTCACCGACCTCCCTTTCTTCCTCACTCTCGAGCCGACTGATCGTCCCTCGGTGTCTTGTCGCCACCGCTCCTAAGCACATTTTGATGTGATGGAGACAGGGTACGATTTCATTCTCGGTACTCCGTGGGCTCGTCAGTTCTGCAGCACCGAGGCCGATTGGGCGACCAACGCTCTCGTTCTAAGAACGAAGTGTGGACAGACGTATTGCGTACCTTTTATAGGTACCACTGCGACACCACGCCCCGATACTCCTCCCCCGGAGCCTTCCGTGCCCACACCATCTCCTACTATCACCGTCACCTCGCCTCGGTAGTTCGCCCACTTCATCCGACAGGACGACGTCACCTTCTTTACGGTGAACATTATGGATCTCTTGCACGATGATCCACCCTGTCCAGACGCCGAGCTCCTCTTTCTGGAGCAAGATCCTCCTCCTATCTCTATGGCTTCCATCTCTACTTCCCTCCCTCTGTCGTACGTCGAGTCCACCCCGTCATTGCGCACCGACGCAGGCGCTGAGGAACTCGCACACTATACGGCCGACCTGGAGCCCGCAGTTTGTGACCTCATTCGAGAGTACCACGGCGTTTTCCCATTGTCATTCTCGTACGCCGACACCCCACGATGCGCGACGTCGAGCATTCCATCCAGCTTGTGCCTGACTATTGCGTTCACCACCAGGCACCCTACAGACTCTCGATCCCCGAGGCCACCGAACTCGAGCGTCAGCTTGAGGAGCTCCTGAGACTGGGTTTCATTAAACCCAACAACTCCCCGTGTGGTGCACCTTTCCTCTTTGCTCGCAAAGCGGATGAAACTCTCTGTCTTTGCATCCATTATCGCGGGCTCAACCGCAATATAGTTAAGAACAACTACCCCATGCCTCGATCGGACGAGCTGTTCGACCGCCTAGCAGGCAACTGCTTCTTTACGGAGATTGATCTTCGTAGCGGTTACCATCAGATCCGCGTCGATGCAGCAGACCAACTGAAGACAACGTTTCGATCACGCTTCGGCCACAATGAGTTTACGGTGATGCCATTCGGCCAACGCACCCGCTACCTTCCAGAGGGCGATGAACGAGATCTCAGGGACGTCCTGGAGCAGTATGTTCTCGCAGAGTGTCCCACCTGTCAGGAGGTGAAGAGTGCGAACCACATGCCTTATGGTTTGCTCCAGCCTCTTCCTATCCCTGCGGGTCATTGACAGTCCATCTCAATGGACTTTATCGGTCCTCTTTGTCCTCCAAACCCCCGCGGTCATGATGCTATCCTGGTCGTCATCGACCGCTTCACTAAGCACACACGCTTTGTTCCGTGCCGCTATGCCATCAGTGCACGTGAGGTCGCCGACATCGTGTTTGACCAAGTCGTGCGTGACCACGACTTACCTCTGAGCATCATATCTGACCGTGACCCGCGCTTTACCAGCCGCTTCAGGCGATGGCTCCACGAGGTTTACGACACCCAGATCCGCTTCTCCTCGTCTTACCATTCCCAGACCGATGGTCAAACGGAGGTCACGAACAGGACTCTCGATGATATTCTCCGAAAGATTTTTCATGAGGACTAGCAGTGGGATCTCCATCTTGCCCACGCAGAGATAGCCTACAACCACACTGTCTCGCCGGGATGTCGCCTTACTATTGCGACCTCGGCTATCACCCTCGTGTTCCCGCGGACTTCCTTCGACCGTCACAGATGCACCCCGACACGAGTTGTTCCGCGCTGGATGATTGGGTTGCACACATGACGTCGATCATGAAGACCGCGCATGAGCACATAGCCGCTTCCCAGACTCGCATGGCAGCACATGCGAACCGATCGAGGATGGATCATTTGTTCAAAGTCGGTGATGATGTGCTTATCGACACCCGCCACTTATAGCTCGAAGCGGACACGCTTCGCAAGTTTCGGCATTGCTTCTTTGGCCCATGCCGCATTCTCCAGGCCGTCGGTTCTGATACGGCTACTAGCCCAGTCAGCTTCCGTGTGAAGCTGCCCGACTACCTACGCCAGACTCGTGTGCACGATGTCTACCACATCTCGTTACTGCGTCCCTACCGCAGACCGTCGGAGCGTTTCGCTGGACGACCATACGAGCGCCCTCCACCCATCATGGTGGAAGACCATGAGGAGTTCCTCGTTTCAGACATCATTGGTCGCCGAGTCACAAACGACAACCCTTCTCATGTCGCGTATCTCGTACGTTGGAAAGGTTACCCTGATGAGGAGGCTACCTGGGAGCCCCTCGAGCACTTGCAGCACGCTCGCATGTTGGTGCGTGCCTATGACCGTGCTCGTTCTACTGGGTTGACTGCTCCTCCTCAGCCCACGGACCCTCCTCCTTTCCCTCGGCTGAGGAGATCGCTGAAGTCGAGCTTGCTCCATCTGAGGCAGACCTTCAGCAGCAGTCGGATGCTTCTGGGCGTCCACAACGCAGTCGTTGTCGTCCTGCTCGATACGACGATTGACTCTGACTTATCTTCCCACGTCTTTGACTTCTCAATACTCCATCCGTTCCAGTTTTGCCACTTCAACTCGTCAACGTTGCGGCTCTTCCTCGACGACATTCCGGACTTCTCATCATGGACATTATCGACAACTTCACGGCCTTCGTCACGATCAGCTTTGCCTACTTCAGCCATCGTCACTCTCTTACCACCTTACCCTGTACAGTACCCTGGTTGTGTCGCATGATGGTCTCCCTTCGCCAGGTTCCTCTAAGTTGGGCTCTCGCTTGGTATACGCATAGGCATCAGGACTGTAGCGTTGCCTTGGTTTCCCAGCTTACGGATCTTGCTCCGACTTCCCCCACCTTAGGAGTCATTTGCATGATTCCCTTACCCATCACTTTTTCTACCCTCTAACGGCCCTCACACCTTAGTTAGGCAGCCTTGCATGCTTCATCTAGGTGCGGCCAGTATACCAGGCTCCCTTATTCCCTTGCATGGTCGACCCTCCATAGCGGTCACTCTTGTAGTCGAGCATTATCTGCCCTAATGGTCTATCTGTTAGGGTCATTGGTTCTGTTCGCTTCCGGTTCCCTACCCTCATTGAGCCTGATGACAAGTGTCTCCTTGTCATTATGTGTGGATGCCCTTAGGAGTTTATGGACCCCTAGACTGCATTCGCCACCCTCAGAGACCATCCCACCCTGTGGTTTGCCACACACTTCTCTTGTGACATATGTTTGTCTTGTTGTTGCTTTGTTGCTCTCAAACTGAGGCTACTGCCTCTAACATTTCTAGGATTTAGTTGTTTCTGCTTTTGCTGTTCTTAGGACTTATACACTAGTCAGCTGTTTCCAGACTGAGGCTACTGCCTCCAACAGTCTAGAATTTAGTTGTCATTACTTTCTGCTTTCCTAGGACATGTATACTAGTTAGTTGCTTCTGTTTTCACTTAGGCTGTTAGCTGTGACATTGCTGTTTTTTGTGACACTTTCTGTCCTAGGTTGCATCGCATGGACTCAGCATGGGGCTTGCTCCACATCCTAGACTACTCGTGTTTTCTTTTTCTTTGGTAGAGTTCCGCTTCTTGGCGGAAGCGTGCTTGTATCTAGGTGATCCATCATAGGCCGAAGATCGTGTGGCGGACCTCTAGTTGGCCTGTGAGACCAGCCCCTTGGCCTGTTCTCACAGGCCTGTGTTGTATTCGGGGTAGTCCAGTCCAGGCCGGTACCTCTGTCGGTACCAGCCAGTCCAGTCCAGTCCATACAGTCCGCTGGGGTATACCCCAACCAGAGTTTGTATTTCGGATCATTCTGCATTCACACAGTTTGGAGTACGTGCGTTGGAGTCTCGCGTGGGAGCTGCACTGTGCCATCTTGCTCCACTCTCATCCTCCATCTCCATCTCTATCCCAGGCGGAGCACCACACCTGGTGGGTCCGCAACAACGGCTCTTGCCATTACATGGCCATTGTACATGCCTCTGACCACTGGGAGCTGTGGGACAACGGCGCCATGGTCCATGCCATGATTGATGTCCCTGATTTCTTACAAAATGATGCTGTTTTCTTGCCACAACAAACCGTCCACAATCTCTTTTATGTTGAAGATCATTCCTCTGGCCCCGTGCTGCAGCAAGACAATGTACCAACACTCTGCGACCTTCTCCTTTGCACAGCCACAAACACTGTTACACTCGGCTGTAGCTGCCATCGTCTCTGTCACAGTCACTACAATGACATGGTTTCTGCATCCATGTGTGGAGAGGACTGTCCCACAGTTCCTGACTGCAGGCACCCTCCGCATCCGGACACTATATGTCCATTTTGCGGCCATGGGCGCTATACTGAATGCATGCTCTTTCGTGGTGACCGTTCTTCTTTCATTTTGGCCTGCAATCGACATGCCATTTGTCGGGGGTGTATGATAAGCATGCTCAATGCCACTCGTCGTGGCAATCTTCCATGTGTTCATCCACGTCATCCTTACAATGCATGTCCTCTCTGTCGTCAAGGACAGACTTGTTCTTGAGTCTTTTCTTATCCTCTTTTGCCTTCATCTTCACTCCACACTCCATACTTTCCCTTACTTTCCCTTTATCATTCTTTGTTTGTCTGCTCTCCATCTCTCCTCCCTGTGTTTATCCCCTCCCCCTTCACTCTGCCTCTTTCTTACAGCGTACAAGTGGGCTGTTATTGCACACGGGGATGGGGGCAGCTCACACTCAACTTCATCAACGTGGCGATCCTTGTACGTGAGAGGCACGGTGAAAGAGGAGTCAAAAAAAGAATGAGAAAAATGAATGGTTTCACTGTGCCCTCCGTGTTTGTCTTGTTTTTTTAATTTTTAATTTTTGCCGTTTGTTTCACAAATTACGCTCTTTTAGTTCATAGTTATGTGACAATTAAGGTGGATTATCACTTACAGTGTAATCAGTTAGGGGATTCTGCAGACTGTTGAGGGTTCAGCCTCCTGATGAGTCGGTGAAACTCCGACGAAACAGTTTGCCACAGCCCTTCGTTTGTTGTCCTCTTCTCCCTCTCTGCCTATGGCTTACCGGGCAGCTCTGTTTGACTATATCTATGTATTTCAAAGAGAAAAATACAAGTCCAAACAAGAATGGAAATTTCAAAAACTGTGCTTGTGCTAACCTTTTGCCCTTTTTTTTGTGGTTGTGCAGCAGGACTGAGAATCTTGTGCCGGCTCCTTTGCTTTGCTAGGAGAAGGAGATCCCGATCATCCTTGGCGTTATCCAGGCCGTGTTCCTGATTGTAATCTGCATTGTCCAGGCCAGGATCCCAATTGTTAAATTTGGCACTATGCATGCTGGGATCCCGGGAGGTGGTCTTTCGTTGTAGTCCTTGCTAGAAGCTACGTCATCATCGTTAACCAGCATGGTGAGATACCAACCGTCTCTATCGATGAATTCATAAGGTGGGGAGTGCGTGGGAAAGGTCTTGTCGAGGGGAGAGAGAGCTGTCTGCATCGGATTTTGGGTTCAATAATCTTTTTAGTATTCGTTCCCCTTTACTTATCTAATTATTTATTTATTTATTTTCCTTCGACATCAACGAGACTCAGAGAATTCCTCAGCAAAATTGAGAGGCCGCAATGGACGAAGGGACACAGCAGAGCGGTGGTATTTGGATGAGGAGAGGGTGCAGGACGAGGAGGACTACTGGGGAGCAGCCAGGAGTAGGTTTCTCTTCAGAAAGTAATAACATGGCGAACGGCTTTGACAGCCACAGACAGAGGCAGCAAGCCTTCTTGTCCATCTCCTCTCCACATCTTGTCCATCATTCTCGCCCTGACACTCCTGCTCTGCAATCCGACGATTTTCAATCTACGACTGCTGTTGAATCGGACGACGGCTTTCTGTTCCCTGCCCTTCAAGTGGGCGACAGCTTGGGACTGGATCATCATCACCATCATCACCATCATCATCATGATCATCACGATCATCATCAACATCATCATCATCAACATCATCGGCATCATCGGCATCATCATCATCATCATCATGAGCAGCAGCAGCAGCAGCAGCAGCATCATCATGACCGGTCGCAATCTCGACAGGATCGGTCTGGATCCCAACCAACATCCCACTGGCAAGCTCACGAGCGGAGGAGCGAAGCTGCGAATCAGCAGCAGCGGCAGGATCACCAGCATCAGATCCCCACTTCCATTGGCACCACCGCTATCACTGCCACCATCCTCACGAACACTGAAGCTCGATCTCGACTGGATCAGTCTGGAACATCCCAGTGGCAAGCACACGAGCGCATAAGTGAAGTTGGCAACCATCGGCAACAGCAGCATCTCCCTATCCCGAATGCCATCACCGCCGCAGCTGCCGCCTCCGCGTTTGCCAGTACCGTGACCTCCCTGTCCATCATCATGAACAGCGACGCTACCACTCCATGTCCCACTAATCACCCACACCACCAGTCAACAGGAACAATTAGGCAGAATGAGCACACACCCGCCACGACCACCACGCACACCACCCCCACCCGCATCACCCCACACCCCACCACTACCACCAGCAGCAATAACAACAGCAGCAACAGCAGCACCAACAGTGTCCAGAGCCCTGCCACGGAGAGAAGATCAAACACAGCCGGGTTCGAGTGCGTAGTCTGCTATGAAATGGCACACCATCCTATTCTATCCCGATGCGGCCATCTGTACTGCGACGGGTGTCTGGACACATGGCTTTCTCGAAAGCAATTTGCAAACTGCGTCCTTTGCCGAGATAATTCTCTTTGTGATGGGGCTATGGCTGCTGACGGGTGCGACGATGACGAGCCACCAGCACTGATCCGGCTGCGAAGCGATTACTATCCGTCGAGCCCGCAGCTTGAGTATTATTCCTGCCACGTGTGCATGCTCCCTGCACGTCGGCCAGTTGCAACCCGGTGTGGACATGTATACTGCTACCCTTGTGTACGAATTGTTGATTACACGCAGGCAGCTACTGCTACTGACACGTGTACTTCTCTTCTGCGTGACTACCGGTGTACGGGTTGTCGAGAGAGCGTCCGAAGGGGATGGCGGGCATTTGTGCCCATGTTCTCGTGCGGCGCGGTGCGCAGCAATTCTCAGGGCAATAATGGTGGTGGGGATGAGGAAGAACGACCTTTCCCGCCAGAAATGATGCCACGTAGACGGGCTGCTCCTCCTCCTCCTCCTCCTCCTCCTCCTCTTCTCAATCCCCATCATCATCATCATAATCACACAGGAGTGGTGGTGGTAGATGGCGACGTGGTGGCCATGGACGGTCAGATCGATTTTGCGATTACTGATGACGCCTTTGACATCAGCACTCTGGAGGAGAGCCGAGCTATGCGACAGGCGCGACAAGAGGCATTCCAGCGCCTGCGCGAGACTGCAATGGTTGGACTCGCGGAGCTGATAGTTCCTCAAGATCCCAATGAGCCTCTGCCGGACGACGAGATCCCTTTTGTTATAACCTCCCACATGGAAAACTGTCTGCGCAGTATTGGCCGCCACGACCTCCTTGAACCCCCTCCTGTTGCCGCCAATCATTACAATAATTCCTCAATTCGTCTCCCAACTCCCCCTCTTCCTCCTTCTCTTCCTTCTCCTGCCTCTCTTCCCTCTCCTCCCTCGCCTCCCTCTCCTCCCTCTCCTCCCTCCCCTCCGTCTCCTCCCTCTCCTCCCTCTATTCTCTTTCTCTCCCTTTCTTCTTCTCCTCCTCGTCTATCTCCTTCTCCTTCTCGTCTGTCTCTGGATACGTCTCAGGATGTGGTTTGGGAGGAGAGTCTGGATGCAGCTCGGAGGGACTGGAGGGATGCATCGTGGCCGGATGCGGCTCGGGAGGACGTTTGGGAGCACGGTCGGGAAGAGGTTCGGGATGGGGCTTCGGGGGACAATTGGAATCACGGTTGGAATGAGAGCACACATGCTGGGATGGCATTGAGGAGGGCGGCACTGGGTGCAGCGAGGAGAGGGGTTGCTCTGACAATAGTTGCAGGGTCTGAGGTGGAGGCTGACGTGGCGAGGGGTCCATCGTTAGCAGCTCCAGAGCTTGGAGAGGAGGGAAGGAATACGCGAGATCGAGAAGCGACACGTGTCCTGCACACAGAGGAGGTGGTGGAGACTCCTCCACGGCAGCAGGAGAGTGCACCTGGTACTAGGCGCGCGCGCATGCGACGACCTCACAGCTCCTCCCTCCTTGGAGCACTCTCCGATATGGGGGATCATGAACCTCTGGCCAAACGCCAAAATCGCGACGGTTAACTGTATCTGCGGCAATCGACCCACCAGTTCACAAAGGTATGAGACTGCTCCTCCAAGAAACGATGTTAAAAAAAAAAAAAGCAAAAAAGCATTGCTCCGCTCCTTCGGCCTTGGGACCATTTATTTATTTATTATTATTATTATTTTTTTAATGCGACATCCTGTGTAGTCCTGCAGCCTGGTGCTGGTGAGAGAACCAGCCAGGTCGAGGCTTTACTGATGGACGACTCCTTTCCATTGGTGGGAAGCTGCACCTGCTGGGATAACAAAACAATATTACAGCTCAATACAAATCATAGCAGATAGAGTGACTGGGAGAATTACCCAGCTTGCCAATGCCAATCAGGCATGACTACAGGACCTCTCGGCCCCCATGGCCTGCCTGAAACTAGTGCTAAACTGATCCTGCTTATTGAAGCAGAGGTTGCCTCTTAGTCCTCTATTATGCCAACCTGCTGGGGAGGTAACTCCGTCACCTCGTCCCACAGGTGCTTGGAGACTGCCAGATCGCCTTGCTCTGAGAATGTTACCCACTTGAAAGGTGAAGTCCACCCGCTCAACATTTTACCTCTGGCTATTTCGCGCATTAACTGGCAAATTATAAATAAAGTATTTGAATTTGTTGCGAACGGCCGAGGGAGGCCAGGAATTACCTTTAAACCTTCTGTCTCCCTTTGCTATCCAGAGGACCCAGAACCCCAATACTCTAAAACCTTTTGGCAATGCTGGCTAGTTGTCCTTGATCCTTACTGCCCAACATAATAAATTGTTTCGACCATCTCTGTTCTGGGCCGTAAGCGTATTGCCATAAACTACTGACCCAATCCCAGAATCCTCTTGCCTCAAGGCATTCCCACCACAGATGACTGGAGTCTTCTAGAGACTCATGGGGGCACACTTCGCAGTTTGGTGAGATTACCATACCCTTGCTTGCACGCCATTCAGCGGTAGGAGCACTTGAGTGGAGATGAAGCCACTATAGACCTGCTACTGTGGCCTCCATTACCTGCAACAACATTGTGATGAAACACTTCACCCAGGAAGTCTTAAAGGAAGTCCAATTAGACACATCATTCTTCATTCTCCAGCTGTACCAGGCGTTAGCCTGGAGAGTTGAGGCTCTGGAGCGAAGGGAATATCCACACTTGGATGAGTACTCCGAAATCAGAGTCTTGGACGAGGATGCTGATTCGTTCGTCAGGACCCAGCCTGTTCTTGGATGGTAAATTTTCAAATCTGTACTTTGTGTGACGGGGCTGAGGCAGAGCAGCGAGGTCGGGGAATAGAGAGGGAGGGAGGGAGAGCACACACACACACTCGCTCAACTCGACACGGACTCAACACGACTCGACGGACACGGACACAAAGTGGCAAAGTGGCAAAGTGGCAAAGTGGCAAAGTCGCAATCTTGGTTCCGTACACAATGTCGCAGCAAGTCACACTGAAGCACAAGCACTGAGGCCGAAAACTGCGTCCCCAAACTCAGCTTGAGTCCAGTCTAAGTACCGGACTCGAGTTGAGTCCGCGGGCAAAAGTGCAATTTGCCTCGGGGCTGAACTGAAAATCGAAGGTCTGAGCCTGGGCGCCAGAATGCCGGATGGAGCCAAGTACGAAATCCGAAAGTGGCAGAGGCGGGATTGTAGAACGGGCGCCAACTGCAGAGGGCGCTAACAGTCAGGAATCGGAGATCAGAAACTCCAAAAAAATAGAATAGCAGCCTGGCAGGTGGTACCCCGCGGACCAGGGATCGAGCCCTGGCTGGGTCCATAACACTATCCTCTCCCTCTGGAAGGCAACGTCCCGACTGCCAAAGACCCAATGAACAATTGTGAAGGATGGGACGGGGCCGATCACTGGTCAGAAAAGGAAAGGGGGAGTAATGCAAGTAGCAGGGTAATCCTATGGGGGTCCTACAGGGATAAGGGAATCAATGTTCAAGTAGCAGGATAATCCTATTGAGGTTCTACAGGAATGAGGGAATCAATGTTCAACTAGCAGGGTAATCCTATTGAGGTTCTACATGGATGAGGGAATCAATGTTCAAGTAACAGGGTAATCCTAGTGAGGTTCTACAAGTAACAGGGAGGTCCTATTGGTGTTCTACAAGGTTGTAGGTTGTCGGGTTTGAGAAAGAAATTAAAAAAAAAACTGTTTGTTCAATGCTCAAGTTCTGGGGTGTCTGAGGGGTCTGGGAAAACAGCATCTCAGGTCTGTAACAAAGTGTGAAAAGCAAAGAAATGTCTTGAGGAAGGTCTTGGAGGGTGTCGCAGAAGTGGCGGTGAGGAAACAGTCTTCAGCAGTTCCGTGATGCAGATGGCGAGGACTTCAGCTTGATTGTCGCAGTAGCAGGTTGCGTCCGGTACATCTGATGATGAGGTCTGATCCGGATAGCAGGTCGCAGACTGATCTTGATGTCCATGCCAGAGGTGCTGCTCCAGAAGTCTGCGAGTCCAAGGTGCCGGCCAAAGGGAACAGCATGGTGGCCAACCAGCTGTCTTATCTCCTCGTACTGAGCTGCAGCATGCCATCGTCCTCGTGCGCTTGCCATTAGATCCATTATCGCCGGCGATGCGCAGGGGCCACAAAGAGAATTTGGACAAGAGAGACAAGGATGCGGCGGAGGACAGATGGGAGAACGGGGCAAGGCGGAGGCAAGGGCGGATGAGATAGTAGGGGGGGGGGGTCAAGAGGCAAGGGCTGCGCTGGGTACAGGGGTGTGTGTAGAGCAGGAATGCGGGGTTTTGCGGGGTCAAGGCGGGGTTTATGAAAGGGTTTAGGGTTTGAGTTATATTATGTATCTAGGATATACGGTGAGCACGGTCGTAGGCGCAAACAAGTTTCATAGCATTCTTAAGGTTAGGAAGAGGTTCCCATGTGGATTCTTCGTGAGGGTATCCTGTCCATTTAACTTTGTATTTCGTGATTGGTTCCGGATGGTCTGATACTTGTGTGGTTCGTCGACCTATGATGGATTCGACTACGAATTTTGGGTCTGTGGGAAGCATGATCGGTAGTCTGGGGTAAGGGTGGTCAGCGAATTAGGGTGGGGATTCATGATATTCTTTCAAGTATTCTACGTGGAAGACAGGGTGGGCACGACTCAATGCCAGGGGGGAGTTGGAGCTTGTAATTGACGGGGGAGGTTTGTTCAATGATGGGGAAGGGACCAAGCCATTTGTTCGAGAGTTTCTTGGACAAGCCGTGTTCGGGTTCAAAGCGTTTGGTGGAGAACCAAACTTTGTCCCCTATTTTGAATGATACGTCACGTCTATGTTTGTTAGTCTTGTTGGCTTGTTGTTCTTGTGTTCTTTCAAGGGCTTCGGTATCTTCTCTGAGGAGTCTGTTTATTGTTGCTACGCATTCATTGAGAGAAGGGCAGGGGGTGGAGGGGTTGAGTTGCGAGGGGAGCACGAAGTCGGAGGGCAAGTGCGGATGATAGCGAAGGCCGAGGTAGAATGGAGACATGCCAGTGGAAGGACAGACAACATTGTTGTAGGCGATCTCGGCGGCGGTGAGCAACTGATCCCAATCGTGTTGATGTGGATGACAATACTTTCGCAGGATTCTTTGGAGAGTATCGTTCATCTTCTCAGTTTGTCCATCGGTCTGTGGGTGGAATGCAATGCTATACTTGAGCGTGGTTCCGTAGGCTTTAAAGAGGTGTTTCCAGAATTGCGAAAGGAAGCGAGGGTCACGGTCACTGATGATGTTCTCGGGGAGACCGTGGTGACGTGGGACATGGTCGAAGAAGAGAATGGCGAAGTCCTTGGCGTTGTGCGATGTGGTGCAAGGGGTGAAGTGGGCACGTTTAGTCAAGCGACAAACAATGACATAGATGCAATCATGTCCGCAGTCGGTCTTGGGGAGACCGCAAACGAAGTCCATGGAAATGGACTGCCACCGGTGGGTGGGGATCGACAATGATTGTAGTTTGCCGGGCTTGGCGCGGTTTGAGGAGTTGACGGCTTGACATGTGAGGTGTCCGCAGTCTTGGCGTCGTGATGCTCGGCCAAGAGCTGGGTACGGAGGCCACGTGCATCGAGGATGCAAAGTCGGCGAGTGCCTTTGGTGTCAATGTAAAGAAGTTTGTCGTGAAGGGAGTATTCGGGGACCGAGTCGAGATCACGAAGTTTGTTGTAGATTGTTGAGAAATTCGGGCAAGAGAGGTAGCCTTGGGTGTAACGGTGGTGGAGCGATGGTAGGAGTTGGATATGAGTCATGGCGGCATAAACTTTCTCGGAGGGCCTGTGGTCGGGGCGTCGAGAGAGGGCGCCGGCAACGCGGTTGCTTTTGTCGGGGGTGTGGCAAATGGTGAATGTGAATTGGGCAAGAAAGTCTAACCAACGAGCTTGGCGGGGCGTGATGTGTTTTTTGGTGAGGATGGAGGAGATGATGGTGTTGTCTGTGCGGATGGTGAAATATTGCTCGTTGAGGTACGGGCGCTAAACTTTGAGGGCGTGGATCACGGCGAGGAGTTCCTTCTCGTTGGAGGGGTAGTTCATCTCCGCGGGAAGGAGCTTCTTGCTAGCGAAGGCGATGGGGTACTCGTCGGGTGGAGCCTCGGGGTGGGTGGGGGAATCTTTGATGGAGGGGGTTTTAGAGGTGTCGCGAGGGAAGTGTTGGGATAGGACGGTTCCAAGGGTGAATTCGGATGCGTCAATGGTAACATAGAAATGTCGAGAGAGGTCGACGATCTTGAGGACGGGGGCCGTGGTGATGGTTTGTTTGAGGAGGTCGAAGGCGTTTTGGCGGCGGTCGTTCCAAGTGAAGGGTTCGTCCTTGCGGGTGAGTTCGTGGAGGGGGTATGAGATGTTAGAGAAGTTACGGATAAAGGGGCGGTAGTAGTTGGCAGGACCCAGAAATGAGCGAAGTTGGAGTAGGTCTTGGGTGGTGGATACTCGATGAGGGCGGTGACCTTCGAGGGGTCCATGCCTATACCTTCAGCGGAGACGATGTGGCCAAGGTATTCAATGCTTGAAGCGGCAAAGGTGCATTTGTTGAGCTTGGCGTGTAGTTTTTGCTCTCTGAGGATAGAGAGAACTTGGCGGAGATGTTGAAGGTGGGACTTGGATTGATGAATCCTTTTTCAAGGAGTTCATTGAGTTGCCACTTTATTTCTTCGGCTTTCGGAACGGAGAGTTGGTACGGAGGGCGGCAAGGTGGAGAGTGACCGGGCTCCAAATCGATGGTGTGGGATACGCCACGATCCGGAGGTAATCTGGCGGGCAAGGACTCGGGGAAGACGTCCTTGAACTCGTTGAGGATGGAGGTGAGGGCGGGGTCGGAGGGGGGGGCTTGGTCGGGTTTGTTCGTTGGGAGCAAGTCCTTCGGATGGTCGCGATCAAGGACAAGGTAATAGTAGGTGGAGTCAGGGTACGTACAGCCATGTGAAGGAATTGGTGCGTGGTAATGGAGCTTGGGGAGGGGGGATAGGAAATTAGGGAATGTCGTTAGTTGTGTTAGGGGGGTTGGTAAGGCCGGATGAAGTTGGGGTGGAACGAGTATGGCATGTAGTGGTCCAGCCACGGTGTTCCTAAAACGATGTCCCACATTAAGTGCATGACATCAAATGAGACATGACTGCGGAGGGTTCCGACAGTCATGGTGGTTTCGGGAACCGTGCGGTCTACACCAAGGGTGGCGGCGATGAATTTGAGGTGAAAGCGTGATGAGTTGGCGGTGGAGATAATGGTGTTGAGGCGGCGTTGTTCATTGCCTAATCGGACAAGCCTATCGAGTCGGGCTTGTTCCTCAACAACATCAGAGAAGGTGACAAAGGATGGGTTTGGAAGGAGGGTTGCGGAACATGTGGCGGTGAGGGGGGGCGTCAAGCGACGATGGTTGCGACGCTTAGGGGTCGCCCGGTGGGATGTGCGGCACCGGAGAGGGGTAAGGCAGACGTATTGTCGATGCCAACTGGGTCACTGGTGGGGTGGGGATCGTCACCGATGGGATGGCGAGCAGACTAGTCGTTGATGCCGGGGCTGGTTCGTGGTGATCCTGGGGACTCTGTTCAAGTGGAGGAGGGACCGGCAGTGGTGGATGTGGAAGAGGCGTTTCGGGGGGCCGCGGACCTAGGTGTCTGATGAGTGAACTGTCTGGCATGTGGACAGTTTGTTTGTTGATGTCCTAGTTGTCGGCACCGGAAACAACCACCCTTTGCTTGGAGGTAGGTTCGCTCCTCCGACGTGAGTTTCGTGAGACGGATTGGGTGGGTGTTTATGGGAGGACGGCTGGTGCGTTCTCTCTTTTCCATCTGCATAAGGTGGATGGCAGAGAGTTCGTCAGAGGAGAGCGAAGTGGTGTCGAGTGGGTCGCAGAGGGTGTCAGGGTCGGGGGTGGAGAACTCGTTCGAGGAGGCAGAGAGAGAGGTTTCGTCGGTGATGTTATGAAGAATCGTGGGCGGGGTGGGGCGGATGTGAGTCCGTCCTTGTACGGGGTGAGGAATTTGTCTCGGTGGATGGCGCGGTTGAAGAGGTTAAAGAGGGACATTGGGGGGTCGTGGATAAGGGAGGCGGCGAGGTCCTTGCGGCGTCCCCGTTTGAGGTGGGAGATGAATGCGGCATCGCTGACGTAGTCAAGGGGGATATGTTGCCACAACGCACGGACGTATTGGACAAAACGGTCGGTTGGGCCGTTCTGTCGAAGGCGTCAGAGTTTCTCAAAGTAGTCACCGACCGTCTTATGTGGTCAGAATGTGCAAGTGATGAGTTTGGCCCACTGAAGGAAGGAATGGGGTTGATTGGCTCCATGGTGTTCTCCGGGACATGCACGGAACTGTCTCTTATACACATCTCCGGGACATGCACGGAATGCTTATGGCCGTCGGGTTTTCGGCCTCGCTTCTTCTGCTGGATGCAGTTTTTTTCGGGGCCGACACAAATTGAAATGACGATTTGGTCAAGTCATCCTTGACTTTTCTTTCCCCCCTTCTCTTTCTGGAGTGCGTGTCCGGTCATGTTCGCCAACACATAACCCCACAACGGATGCACGATTCTGCCAGACGTCCCGTAAACTTTTCACTCCCACACCGCGGCGTGATCTGAGTCGCTAGGCACAGAAGCTGCTTGGCCTTTTCTCTGTTTGTTTTGCCCCTTTTTGTTTTCTTTCTTTTTTTTTTTTACGGTTAGCTCGTTCGGTGTACCACCAACGAGCAGCGCCTTCCTGTAGCCTTGTGCTGGCAATAGGGAGCCAGTGTGTGACAGGGACGTTGTGGAGGGAGAAGGCATCGTATAGATTGCTGAGAAAGACCAAGACGTCCTTGTGGGGAAGGCCGGTGAAGGGGGGGATATCTGTTGACCGGAAGGATGGGGGAATGTTACCTGTTAAGGGTGTTGTGGTGGTGAGGGTGTTGAAATCAAGTTTGGGTGAGGAGGACGGTACCCGGGTGAAGTCGGTAGTGGGACTGGTTGGGAGGAGTGTGGACGGAGGAGGTATTGGGATAACGGGGAGCAAGGCGTGGGGGTGATCTGGGTATGGGTAGAAGTGATAGTGGATGAAGTCATGAGGGGTTTTGATTGGGAATGGTTGATGACTGTGTGACGGCAGGGGTTGTCGTCTTGGTGACAAAGGTGGAGGTAGTGGTGGATGAAGGCGGAGGTGTTGATGACGTGCTAGCGGAGAGGGGGGTGAATGTGGCGACGGGGTGATTGGTGTCGATGTGGAGGCGGAGGATGGGGAAATGGTGGTGGCACCTAAGGTGGGGGCGGGGGATGTGGTGGTGACGACTTGGATGGCGGGGGTGTGACTTTCAATGGTGGTCATGCGAGCAGAGATGGTGGAGACGGATGTTTTGATGTCGTTCATGGATGACTGGAGAGATGTCATCATGCGGCAAAGAGCCGCGAGGTCGATGGCGACATTGGGTGCTGGTGTTTGCTCGCCTGCGAGGTTGCGGGCGATGCTGTCGACGGAGTCGGAGCGGATGTCAGACATATCAATGCTGGATGATTGGGCCATGGTGGGCCAGTGCGTACAACAATAGCGTGCACTTAGCCACCTGTCGTACTCCCAATGAGTTGCACAAGTCCTTTAGACCATGCAGACCATTTGAGGGACTTAACCGGGATCAGATTCATAGGCTACCGCTCGATATTAGGAGTTTGCGATACAGCACGAAAAGGAGTTAGCTACCGTCGTTGAGAACCTCACGAAGGCCCAGCACCGAATGATAGAGCAAGCTAACAAGCACCGCCGACCGTCGTAGTTTCAAGTAGGCGACCTAGTCTGGGTCAAGTCCAAAGAGTTTGCTCCTGAGGAAAACATTTCCCAGAAGTTACTGCCAGCATACAGGGGACCGTGGCCAGTTTTAGAAGTTTAGGGCGGAGAGGATGGTCCGTCCTACACAATAGAGATCCCAGCACACCTCCACACCTACCCCGTGTTCCATGCATCAAAGTTGTTGCCGTGTGTCACAAGCCAACAGTTTCCATCAAGATATGACATTGAGTGCATTGTAGGTGAAGACGTATTCAGAACAAGAGGTAGAGGTCGTCCCCAGAAACAGTACAAGGGTTTGATTTGTTTATCAGGAACCCGAGAACGATCGCTGGTTTACTAGGACAGAACTTCTAGAAACTGCTCCCGACGTAGTTAGGGCCTACGAGAGGGAAAAGAAAGGTAAAAATCCGATCTTGGACTGAAGTATTTTCGGAGGACCTCAAATTTAGGCCGGAGGGAGTGAAATGGTATCCACCTGTTAGCAGTAGTGAACGCAGATCCCAGGGCTCGATCCCTAGTTCTCACCTTACCTGTGTACAGTACCTGTGTCGACCCCGAGAGTTGAACCCGTGACCTGTGTGTTCGCAGCAGTTGGTAGGCTGTTGTAGGTCCGTAGGTCGTAGGGGTTCGATCTGTAGACCTGTCAAGTAGGAGTCTTAGTGAGTTCTAGAAGTCGTAGCTGTAGGAGTTCTGAAGGGTCAAGGTCGTAGCTGCGACAGTCCTGAAAGGTCAAGGTCGTAGCTGCTACAGTGTCGAAGGGCCAAGTCCACAAACTTCCGGAAGGTCCGGAAGTGGCCCTTCAAACGTTGCTCACAGCAGTCCAGAGGCAAGTGGGCAAGTGGTGGAGTCCACCTGTGCTGAGTCGGCGGTACCCAGTCCCAGTCTCACTAAGTCCAGTCTGCAAGTACCATGTGGGAATGTGTGCACTCAGGGCCTGGTGGACAGAGGCAGACCAACAAGTCACAGAAATATAAATCAAGAGGCAGCGCCCAGCCATTCATTCATTGCTGCGTAAGCCATGCGGAAACGCTGCTTGAGTGACTTGTGCGAGGTGGTCTGCAGAGCGCCCGAAGACAAAGTGGGCAGAGTAGAGGTTGAGTAGCCATAGCCAGCAGGGTTGAGCGGCCATAGACACCGTATGTGGTAGGCGAGTGTAGTCTGTGCGTGTGTGTGATACAGTGTGTCGCGTGTGGGATATCCAGGGTGATCCTATGTCGAGTGTGCGTGAACAGGGGAGTTGAGCACAGTGCCGAACAGAGAGTTGCACAGACACTGATGGGCCATAGCCTATTGAAGCGAGCATGTATCTGGACTGTGTTTCCGGTTTCCATCTCTCTGAGCTTTGAGTGGGCGCTGAGCGCCAGTGTGACTTGTTATCTGTTTGCATGAGTACGAAGTGGAAAAGAAAGCGAGTCTGATTGCAATTTTAAGAAAAAATGCAAAAATGAATGTGAAAATAGTGAAATATACAAGAAAAAGAATTACTTAAAATTATTTTTGAATTTCGAAAAAGAAATATAAAACAGGGATTTGATTAATTTGAACGTATTTTCAAAATTGTCGAAAAAGAATGAAGCAAAAGCAGTTGCGAATTTTGAAAAAGAAACGTTGAGAAAGAATTAATTAATCCGAACGAAAAGAATTTAGTTAATTCTAAAATATTTTCGAATTACAAAAATTTTGAAAAACAACTAATTAAAATTATTTTTGTAATTTTCCAAAAACAAATCGAAAAAGAATTAATTAGAAATATTTTCGAAAAAGAAATGTCAAAAAAAAAGAATTTAAATATTTTTCAATTACAAAATTTTCAAAAAGGAATTAATTAAAATCATTTTTGGAATTTAAAAGAAGAAATGCCGAGAAGGAATGATTAATCCTACGTATTTTCGGAAAAGAAAATATTTTTGAAAATGAAATATCGAGAAAGATAGTTAATTCAGTATTTTCGAATTTACAAGAAGTTCAAATGGATTAAAAAAAAAAAAAAAAAGATAAAGGAATAAATGAGTTTTGATGTAAATCGAGGGCGGAATGATCTTATCTACTATTTGATTGGGTGGTAGGGTAGTAGGTAGTGAAACGGTTTTCACCTTTTTGCAATCAGAGATGCGGGTCCTAGAGTTCGATCCCCAGACCTCACCTTACCCATGTACAATATCGAGTTGACCCCGAGTGTTTGAACCCGTGACCTGTGTTTCGGTAGTTGGTTGTTGTCTGTCGTAGGTCTGTGTAGATGTAGGGGTTCGATCTGTAGGTCTGTCAAGCAGGGGTCACAACTCTGTAGAGGTCGTAGCTGTAGGTGTTCTGAGAGATCAAGGTCGTAGCTGCTGCAGTCCTGAAAGGTCAAGGTCGTAGCTGCTACAGTACTCGAAAGGCCAAGTCCACAGGCTTCCGGAAGGTCCGGAAGTGGCCTTTCGAAAGTGTCTCACGTTTAGGCAAAGGCAAGTGGGCAAGTGGTGGAGTCCAACTTCGATGAGTCAGCGGTTCGGTCCAGAGTAGCAGTATTTCCTGCCCTGCCGCCTGACCGTCCAGATTTAAACCCAACATTTTGAGTTTTCCTTCACTGCCCTGGTCCCCCCGTCTCGCCTTTCCCCTTTAGGAGTCTACTCCTCCGTTCCTCGTCATCACTATCACTCGCCCGTCCTACCGTTTCACTCCCCAGGACCGGGGGTGTCGGCTAAGCCCAGAATTTCACCTTTCCTCTCGTTGCCATCCTCCCAAACCACACCCCGGGGTCAATTCCACTCTAGAAGTCACTGCTCCTGTCTACTTGCCAGCTGCTCCGTCTCGCCCACTGTGTCTCCTACCACACCTGTCTTTACTCTCTCAATCACTGAATTAAATTTGTCAACTTCCGCCTCGACTTCAAGTTAGTTCGCTCCACTCCATTATTACCTCTCACCCTGATACATCTCTCTACGGCCCTCTCCAGAATAAAGGTAAAGACTGAGACTCCACTTTTACCATTTCTGCCCTCCCTACAACGCCATAATTTTGTAAGTAGTAAAGCACAAGTTTCCCTCTTCCCCGAAAAAGGAGAGCAATACAAAGGCGGGTTCATTCTAAATACAGAAAACATAATTACTACCTACGGACAGTTAGAGACTCAAGGCGATGCCCACCCTGGAAGGCATGCGAGAACACTGTAGCTAGGTTGGTAGAGCGACGGAGCAACAAACTTCAAACGAATGTAGTCCTGGGGGGTGGGGAGAGGGGCGTGATTCGATACCTGACTTGGGAAAACGTAGGCCATGTAGAGGACAAGGCACTGTCGCCCTTATTCTCTGAAGCCGGTGGGTGGTGGAACTTCTCGCGGCTGTGTAATGCTGTAGGGGAAAGCCTTGCTCAGGCGCTACACTGTTACCACTGGGCGAAACTTGGCAAAGCTCATTGTACGGAGATTGTCGGTGTGGCCCGCGAGCTGTTTGGGAACCGGCCTCCACACATGGTGTCCGCCCGGCGGTAGAGTTCACACCAGGTAAACGATGGATATCCACGTTTCCCCTTCCGTCGTCCGTGATGGATGGGGAGGATGTCTATGGCGCTAGGGTTAGCGTGGTAATTCCGAAGCCGCACGACGGCACAGGCCAGAGCGCAGCAGCGCTTGGAGGCAGGAGCGCACACCGGCTCCTTGGGACCATTTTGGGAAAAGGACAGGAATTAGCCCAGTTTTATAGTGTTTTCAAACAAAATGCATCTGGACAATCTGGTGGTCAGATGCATGACCTGTGTATGAACGTTGTCTCGTGGAGGTGCATTTCGGCAGGGTCAAGTTTCCGGATTCAGAAACACTACGTAGCTGCCGGTCACGTGGAACCGAGTTCATCCCCCCCCTCCCCCTCCCCACCCCTAACCCCCTTTTCAAAGAGGGAAAGAGCAAGTCCTGTGGTGTGACTCTGGTTTCCCTCTGTGAGCGTGCACTTATGCCCTTCCCAGCCCCGTCAGAAAGCATGAATGTGGCCGTAATAGTGGTCGAGCTCCTACTTTCCTAGCTTCAGCCTTCGATCTGCCATAGGCAACCAGGGCAGTCCAACAAACTAGTGAGGTCAGAGCCTGTACAGAAAAGAAGGATCCTATGCAAAGCAGACCACGGAGCCAGGGCCAAAGTTCTACTAGCTAAGAGGATTGGCTTTGATGCCTGAATCGTGACGAATTTGTGGATATGTACAGAAAAGAGCATCAATCCTAGTTTACAGTAAAGCAGATCAATCGTGGTTTTCTGTACCTTTCCACAAACATGTCCACATTCGGTCGTTGAATACATCCTCTGTGCTCGTGGGATCTCCCCCCGAGTCCTAGTTTCTGGCCACACAGAAGGGGGGGGGGGGGGGCACTAGCAACGAGGATTGGATTCCATGCCAGAATGTGGATATGTTTGTGGACAGGTGCAGGAAAGAAAATTGGGAATGATCGGCTTTTCTGCATCTCTCCATGGGAACAGATCCAGATTCAGGTCCTCAATCCAATCCTCCCCTTTGCTACGTCGTCCCCCGAATAAAACGTACTCGTTATGCCTGTATTAGGCGCAACTTTCAGTCCAGATGCAGCGAGAATGACAGTATGTTCTATTTGGGTGAAGTTGGCAGTGGGACCTCGCCGTGGGTGACAGCAGGTGCTGATGGAACCCCTGCCGCTGATTTTGGGCCTCCACTCACCACATGCACAAATGACAAGAATAAGAATTATCGCCGTGTATCTTTCCTTGCTCTAGTGGAAGATTCGTTCTCGTTTTTCACATCTGGTGAGTGGTGGAGAGAGGCCTTGAGATAGTGGCGCAGGGTTGATGGGTATAGTTGAAGAGCAAAACATAAGGATAATAGGTCCAAAAAAATCGGAAAAAAGTTGAGAAACAGATTTGAGGCCTTTGATTGACCACTGAGGATGCGGTCCCCACATAGGATAGTAGTTTGTTTTTCCTTTGTTCTTTTTCTCAACTTGGACCATTTCTCGATATGTGCATGTCATCCTTAGAAACGCAGTGGCCGTGCTTCTTCTTTTTTTTTCCGTCTGCTGGCTTTATTATGGGGGGTGATCTGAGTATCCCCCTGTGGTAGCTGCCTGCAGAAGGGTCCAGTCTGTTGGTGGGGAGCTGCACCTGCTGGAAACCAGGTCCAGCATCCCATCCTATACAAGATAAAGCATGTACCCTTGGAAGCCTGCAGATGGGTCCAGTCTAGATACAGCAATAGTGACCATGCGTTCTATTCAGGTGAAGACAGCAGTCCTGGACCGTGAGGGTGGTACACTCGGCCTAGCGACTCCTTCCTCCTCTACGCAGGAACATCACCCATACCTGGTCCTAATCCTGACTGCATACATACCAGCATGGCAGTACCACCATCACTGCACCTGCTAGCCTACCAGCCCTCCAGGCCTACCTGTGTCACTGGAACGTTCCTACCACGGGGCCCTAACGAATTCTACTTTTGTCCCTGGCCGTTCTACAATTTTCCCAAGTCTGGCTTTTGTCCAATCTCAGTCCTACCCCTGTAGCTACACCAATGTCTGTTCTCCCCGCGCTCGCGACACAGAAACACAGCCTGGGAACAGAGTTAGCACTCAGATACAGACTCAGGCTCAGCAAGGATAAATCTTCCCAAGCCCGTCCTTCGTCCAAATTGCATTCCTGCCCCTGTAGCTACGCCTATTTCTGTTCTGCACCTCCCTGGGTCAGAGAAACACAGCCTGGGAACAGAGTTAGCACTCAGATACAGACTCCGGCTCTTCAAGCATCAGTGGACCTGCAGACAACAGGGCAAAACAGACTGAGACTCGGAAATCGCAGCAAATCAGACCGATTTCTCAGAAATTCGAATAGAGAGAACAGAGACCATTTTCTCAGAAAGATGCAGAAATGTCAGACTGCAAACTGTGTAGGTCCTTGCCACATTACTTTCACAAAAAAAAAATTTAACTCAGGGCACATAACACAGCTGCAGATACGTTACGTTTGAACTTTCAAATGTTTCGGCAGTCGAGTGTGGGGAACTATTTACTTCGTCTGTCGGCGGAAGTCAACTGGCAGGTAGGTATGGGGCCTCGCTCCGCTACTCACCAAATGTGCAAAATGAGAATGAATCTTCCACTAGAACATGGAAAAATACACCGCCATACTTTTTTTGTCCTTTGTGCATGTGGTGAGTACTGGAGCGAGGCCCATGGTCTGAAAGAGCGTGTGGGGACGTTCTGACGCACCCATTCTGTCAAGATTACCTGTCGCAAAGATCTGACAATGCATAAGAAACACCCAAAGTCTGTGTTGAAGGCGTTGGTTCTGTTCAGAAAAGGAAAAAGAAGAGGGAATCTTCGCCTAGGTACAGTCTGGCATAGAGAATGCGGGTACTTTCTGACGCATACCTCCTGTCCAGTTACATATCACAAGATTGTGAAAAAAAAAAAAAAGGTTGGCAATCAATTAGAAAGTAATATAATAGAAAGTTAGAAGCCCACAAACTACCAACTGGCCTAGCTCAGTTGGTAGTACACCCCTGAACTGTTGAAATACAGACCTCCTGAGTTTGAACTCCACTGGACGCAGATGCGTAAAAATTATAAAATACTGCAATTCTGTACTGCAATTCTGAATTACCTACCTAGGGCTGGTCAGTTCAAATGATCAAATCTCAAGATTGTCGCACTTTCTTTTTCTTAAAAAAAAAAAAAAGAAGAAACCCACAAAGTATGTGCTGAAGGTTTGGGGTTCTGCTCAAAAAGAGGAAAACCAAAAGGCAATCCTCTCTGTTGTTCGATGTTTGGTGGATGAATGGAGTTGTATGCACAGATGTCCACATAGTTTCAAGTTCCTACTCACTCAAACCAAAGATTGGAAGATTAAGGAGGACCATATGAGTTATACTTCATCACAGATGTCCATATGAGTGTACCACATATGTTTGGTGAGTTATACTTCATCTCAGAGTCCGGGCCACTCAGGTAAGGGGCTCGTTCGACACTCCTCGGGCGCGTAAATCCCCCGAGGAAATCATCGTTCCACTTATCCTCGGGGAAGAAATTGAAGAAAAAAAAGCGAAAACATTTCCTCGGGGATTCATCGGGGATTCCTTGGGCTACAGCCATTTCAACGCGTTCCCCAAGGGACCTCCCGAGGTCCCTTGGAGGTCGAGCATCCGGAAGAATCGGGGCGTCAACGGAAGCTCTCTCGACGACAATTTTTGACGCGGCTGGTCCATTGCTGTTCCTGGCGGCCTGTGGACGGACATCTTCGGTCGGCAACGGTCGACGTCATGGAATTGTCCGCCAACGGTCCCCTTTGGCAGTCTGCCGGCCTCCGTGACGTCGAAAATGGGCTGCCTTGCGTCGCTGCCCTTGGCCCCGAATGGGAAGGCGCCCAACGGTCGGCAGATTCGAATACTTCAGCCGGTCCCCACTCTCCCGATTGCGTAGTGTCTTCCGCGATGGAATACGTTACCCTGCTTTTGTCGATAACGGTCGTTTGCACCACTGTTCCTCGCCGTTTCCTAGACGTCCACTGTTGTCTTCTAGCTGCTGCCGTTGTCCACGTGCCTTTCATGGCCGACGTCTTTCGGAGGCTGCCGCTGCTGGTGCTGGTCGTCCTCTTGCTCCTCCTCTTAGTTGTCTTCCACGTGTGCATCCTTGGCAACGTTCCGCGATGTGCCCGCAAAAGACAGTCTTTGAAGAAGGACGTCAGGATGGAGGGGCGCCAAGCGATCTGCAGTTCTGCAGGGGAGCAGGGTGGTGGCCAGCGGGCTGGGCAGAGCCCGTCGAGGAGTTCAAGGTCGTCGGAGCGGTTTGGGTACGCGCACCTGCCACCACACTTGCAACCTCTGCCGGACATGTCCACGAGGAGGCGGATGACAGACGGTCACGGACCGTGCCGCTGGGAAGCGGGTCCACCCAGGAGTGGGAGGCTACAGAGCTGTGTGGAAGCCGAGACGACGGTTATGGCCAGTCCTACACCGAACTCCTCCAGCAGGGGCTCAGCGGCGACGAAGGTGATGGCGGCGTGAATTTGCCGTTCGGGCTGTGTAGCGGGAGGTCGTTGGCCGCCTCGCGAACGATCATCGTTACCCTCCATCCCGACGACGACGGCGGGCGAGTGACGACTGTTGCACGATCATCGAAGTCTCCAACGTTGGGCTTGGAGGCGTCGGGGAACAACAGGGATCCTCCAAGGCAGCAATTTTGATCGCCGTTTGTGTTGAGGGGTGCCTCCGCTCGGCCCTAGTGGATGCAGTCTTCGTCTCCCCTGTCTGCCGGTTCAAGTGCAGCCCGCCGCCGTGGCGAATGCGGAGAGACGGGAGGGAGGTGTGGGCAGAACATCGACGGGGGGGAGGTGTGGGCAGAACACCGACGGGGGGCTGCGGTCGGGGAGGGAGGAATCCATAACTCGGGGGGTGCAGCGACTGCGTGTGGGGGAGCAGGAAAAGGACAACGACGCACACCGTCCGGCCCGGCCTCCCACAATAGATCGTCGTCGAAGGGGATCCCCGCGTCGACGAGTATGTTGTGCAGAATGGAGATGGCGACGAACTGTTGCGGCAACGGCTCCATGTTCGTCTTGTGGGAGTGAAGGAACAACATCCACATCCCCTTCAGTCTGCCGAAATCCCTCTCAACTGCTCCCCTCGCCGTCTTCTGCTTGTTGTCGAAGCGCAACTCCGACGGGTGTTGTGAGAGACCGCTATAGGGGACAACTACCCATTCGGAGAAGGGATAACCGTTGTCGCCCAGCAGATACCCGTTCGTCTGCACACCGAAAGGCAGCATGATAGGTGGCCCAGTGAAAAACTCCCCTGCCTCCGCGCGCGCCCATAAACTCGATAGGTGGACGATCCTCACGTCATGCCAACTTCCCGGATATCCGACGGACACATCCAGCACGCGCAAGTTCAGATCGACGACGACCTGCGCTTGGACGGAGAAACGGCGTTTTCTATCGTAGTAGTTCTCCCCGGGGCAATTCACTGGCTTGTCGATGAAGATGTGCGTGCAGTCGATGCACCCATGGCAGTTAGGGAAACCCTTGTCAGCGAAAGCGTGCAAGACGACCGCCTTTTGCAGCCCCGTCGGCCACGATATCTTGTCGGGGTACGCACTCAGCAACGCTGCAGTTACATCCTGCACAGCTTGCAACCCGAAGATCTGCCAATGTCGAAGCTGCATGTCTCGCTCTCGTACGTCTCCCCCGACGCCCACCTGTACAAAGCGTACGCGACAATGTGGTCAGGCTGGAGGGGCTCCCTATAGAAAGTGGCACGCCGTTGAAGGAAGGGAGACATAGCTTTCGCGATCTCTCGGAACACACGTGGCGACATGCGCAGCTTGTCCTTGAAGTAGTCGGCCGCCACGTCGTCGCCTTGCCGCAGATCCTCCCACGTCCCCCCTCTCCGTCGCTTCATCCACCACCTGGGCGTTGCTTTGGGAAATGGTGTGGCCTCTCCGTCGCTTCATCCACCACGTGGGCGTCGCTTTGGGAAATGCTCCACACCCCATGGCGTAGCACACCTGCAGCACGGCGTCGCAAATGGCACCAGTGTCCTCTACGTCCACATTCATGGACTTCAGCGTCCTCTTCCGCCGTGCGCGAATGGCCGTTCTCATCCTCCCCTCGCTCCTCTGCAGTTGACACTGGAAGAAGATGGCGTTCATGACCGCTGCCACCGCTGTCCTCTCCGCCTTGCTCAGTGTGTCACGGCCCGCCTCCCCGTTCGGTCCATCGCCGAAATTGGTACTGTCGACGTGGGCGTCGCCAAGTACAGAAGACTCCACGTATGCCGGGGCGCACAACAGCGATGCTGCGAGTGACGACCGGAGTGCATGGCGTACACGTCAACAACGAAGGTGCGCCTGCGAAGACGACAACGATGGCGATCGTGTGACGGCATGTCTGCTGCTTCGGACATGTACATGTACGTTCGGCGTGCCCGCCGACACGCAGCCGCCACCCCGTTCCCAAACGCTTCCGTCGAGGAACGTCGCTGCCGTCAGCCGCAAGGGATGCCCACGCCGCCGTCATTCGCTTGCAGAAATTCGAATTTCGAATTTCGAATCCGGGACTGCGCGCCTTTTACGTGGCCATTTTTTTCTTTTCGCCGCCAACTTTCGAATTCGCGACGCCCACCCGAGCTGGACCAACGACGTCGGCATGGACACTCCTTGCTGGACCAACATCGCCCCCCCCCCCGCGTCCGCTTGTCGATATATGAAACTGGCCGCGGAAGGCCCCGAGGAATCGTCCTTGGGGAACAATTCCGAGGATGAGTGGAACGATGGCGTGAATTTCCTCGGGCCGCGAGGACTGCCCGAGGAGTGTCGAACGAGCCCCTAAGTGCCGAAACAAAAAAAAAAAAAAAAAAAAAAAAAAAAAAAAAAAAAAAAAAAAAAAAAAAAAAAAAAAAAAAAAAAAAAGGAATCATGACAACTCGACAACTCACAGAGAAGAGCAACCCAGCCCCTGAAAGTGAATGGAATATATACTATATAGACTTCGTTTTTTTTTGCAACCCATCAATAGAGTCGATAGACCGCCACAGTCTGTCCAGACTGTACTTTACCCAGACTTGACTGTAGCGGACTCTGTTCTTGACCCAGACTGGCAGCAGTATAGGAGCAGAAGAGCCTTAAAAAAAAGAGAAAACCAGGGTAGCCGGCGATCGGCCAGGGCCGAAGGGTCGAACACGAACGTCCGAACGTTTGCCCCCCTCCCCCACGGACGTTTTGCCGAACGCCAGTTTTTCAGGGTTTTTTTTTTCTCTTTCAGCAGATGGTTTGCGGAGGAGGCGTTCTTTTTTTTTTTCTTTTTTTCTTTTTCTTAACACACGCCCCTTCTATTCCGGGGGGCAACAGTCCGGTTACTTATTCCCGGCAAGCATGTTTGTACAAAGACAGTGGGGGAGAAAAGAACATAGAAGAAGGGTCAGCCTAGCCCTTGTGGCACTAGCCGTCCGGACCAAGGGGGACCAGCTTCTGTGCAACCCCACCCCACCCCCTCAAACCTTTGCCCCTCCACGCTGGATTGCCCTACTGGCCGGGAGGCTTACTAGCAGCACCCAGACACGAAGTAGGGTAATCCCTGGGGGGGCTCGGAGCGAGGGGGGGGCGTTCAGGGCAGTCCCTGAGGCCGCTTGCCATTCATCAACTGTTTGCATATCAATCCAGCCTTGCCTAGTATCTGCCTACGGCAATCCTGCAGAAGTCTACCTCACACATAAAGCCTACCCTATTCCTATGTGAGCCTTTCACAACCTTCACCATCCCTAAGACCCCATCCAATTGTCTGTACCCTTTGCCTAGTTATTGTCCTACTGACAAGAAACTCGTTTCTAATTTTAGTGGCCCCAGCGTGTTCCTGTTTCTGTTCCTCCATGCCTCCCATCCCCTGTTCCTGTCTCCAACAGCTTCCTGTATTTTTTGCATTTTAAATTTTTAATACAAAAAAAAAACTTCCCTTCCCCTCCCCCCAGGCTATGACGTCTTTTACGGTATATACCTACCTACCTATTGTACATCTACCTTTCTCACAATCGCTCTCCTTTCCATTCTACCTAACCCAAAAAACGTGGCTATATTACACACCGGCTGCTTTCATGATGATCTGTCCCCCTCTTCCTACTCATCACCTGCTTCCCCTTCTCGGTCGGTCCCAGGCATTTGATGCAGCGATGCTGGGCCCAGCTGCATTAGGCCCGTCTGGGGGTGGCGGGTGAGCAGCTGCAGGTACGGCTCCCATCTTCTCGAAAATCCTCTCTTTCTGTTCACCCCTATGCGTGGATTGTAGATCTGCCGAGAGGGCAATTCTGATGTTCTCCAGCGCCCTTTCTTGATACGTCTGCGGTGGCGGTGCAGTTCCCTGTCTACGCCGCTCATTCCTCAAAGTCCGTAGAGTCCACAGCACCGCCGCCCGGATAATCTCTGAAGCCATCAGGTTCTTCGGCTGTGATCTATCCACCTTCATCATAACGCCAACGAGGATAGCTGCATCATCTGCCTCTGTGACTCCTAGAGGGGTTTTGTCCGCCATCTCTTGCGCCCACCATTCCCTGAAGGCATGGACTACTGGACATCTGACAAATAGATGAGGGGCATTCTCCACCTGCCCTCACCACGCAGCATAAGACTGATCCTTATGCTGACTTCTTGTTGCTAGCCATTATGCTGTTGGGATTGCCAGTTGGTACAGCTTCCACAGCAGGCACACGTTCTTCTGGTCTGGAAGGGCAGCCAAGATGGCGCTTTGCTCATTCCTTCTGCGGTGAGTCCATCTGCCGACATAGGCATCCGGGATCCAGTTCCCCTTGGCCCATCCGCTTTTCAATTCTCCGCATATGTCCACAGGGTCCTCCACTAAAGAGTTGTATATGTTTTTCATGGTAACAGCTGCCACAGCAGGCACACGTTCTTCTGGTCTGGAAGTGCAGCCAAGATGGCGCTTTGCTCATTCCTTCTGCGGCGAGTCCATCTGCTGACATAGGCATCCGGGATCCAGTTCCCCTTGGCCCATCCACTTTTCAATTCTCCGCATATGTCCACAGGGTCCACTAAAGAGTTGTATATGTTTTTCATGGTAAGGCACTGGAGCTGCAGCGCCTTTCTCTGCATCCTTTGAGCCGGCCACTACCACTCCACGGGGTCCCAGACCAGGTCCTGTCTTCGAGCCGCAATTCGGAACGGCAGGTACTGTCCTTTCCCCTTCGGACCCCCTTCACACACCGCCACTGTTTGCATCATGCACCTATCTATCATTTTTTGGGGGTTCTCCTCTTGCTCAGCACATTCTTGCAGTCCTTCATAGTTCGAGTTCACCTGCCATCCCGTCACTTCCAGGTTACCGTCTGCGGAGAAGGCATTCTACATAAGTCGGTCAAACTCCGACGGATCGTCACAGCCCCTTGTTTGTTGTCCTCTTCTCCGTCTCTGCCTATGGTTTACCGGCCAGTTCTGTTTGACGACATATACATGTTAAAAATATATTCATCCCTTTCTGTGCTTGGCCGCAGACGGCTGCGTTCCTCCTCGCCACCCCCATCTCCTCCACGGTCTCGTTTGAGAACCGATTCTCCGGTTTCTATTCTTCCCATTGTTCCGCCTTCATTGCCAGTGACATCTTCTGTTAGAAACATCGCCACTCCTCT